ATCGGCCCTTAGCTTTTTTTTTTTTTTTAAGGACGTCAATTTTTTCGAGAGTAAAAACTGCTGATGGAAATATTATTCACGAATGGGAAGGACTTCTTGATTTGTGTATTTTTTACATGAAGATTTTTAAAGAAGAGTGCAGGATTAAATTGATATTCTTTTAAAATTCATTATTAGTATATTCGACGAGACAAAAGATCTCCTGCGCATGAAAGGGATGGAATATAACTTTTTTGTAAACCCTGTACGCTGTACATGTTAATTGTTAAGATGGTAATATAACCTGGTTTTTATTGTCAATTCCATTCAAGTAAGTAACCCACAGCAAGTTCTTGGATCTGTCGTAACAATGCATTCAGAAATTAAATCATTCCACTGAGGTCCGAAGTATAATCAGTCTTTCGTGGCCAAATCTTTTGCTAAAGTTAAAATTTTTGGATCCGTTCGACCTGTTAAAGAATAGTTATTTACAGAAGAACTTGAAATTTTGATTTCATACGGCATGTACCTTTGAGAAAATAATATTCAAATATGAAAAAAGTATTAGCTTTCAGGTGAGTTGACATTTGATGAGAAAAGTGTTCACCTGTACGTAATAATTGAGAATTACAGTATAAGATTCGAGAAAATGGTGCTCAATATTATCATAAGAGCGAAGAGTTTCGATTCTTCTTTTCCGCAAGAATATAAATTAGAAACGACCCGGCATTTCAATGACAATCTGAACCTATCCGCTTTTTGTTTTACTATAGTGCGACATTATTGTAGCGCAGTTTTGGAATTTCATGAATATCAACTAATAAAAACTGATTTTACGTTGGCACCGCTTTCAAACACACATGCAAGAAATGTAGTCAATTTTTCAAGAGGCTCTAAGGTTTGTTCGTGAAGTTATATAGGACTGAATTAGCATTTTCTTTCAAGATCAAAATGGAATTCCAAACATTTCAGCAATTTACCATAATAACTTTCCCAATCTAACGTGCCCTTGCCTGGGGGGTTTGAAGATGAAAAACGGCGAAAAGGGCCACTTCCGGGATCTTGACATAATGCCTTTCTTTTAGAAGCGCGTCCTTGAAACTAAAATCAAGTATATTCATCGCTTCGGGAATGATTCAAGTTTTTACTGATATTCTGTCGTTTTTTTTAAAGCTTAAGCTGACGTTTCAAACGTAAAAAATAAACCCAAATAAAATGAATTTCATTTGGTGCAGCAAACATTTCTCGAACCCAGCAATACAGAGCGACTCAAGGAAGATTTCTGAACTTTCAGACATGAATAGAATGTCAGTAGTTTCAATAATAATAGAATTTCATGTGTGAAAAGCTTCTCNTAGTTTCAATAATAATAGAATTTCATGTGTGAAAAGCTTCTCAAGAATCAAGATGATTATCGAACGCTATTGAGATAGTTTTGCTCTTTTAAATTGTTTCAGCAGGATTGCCATATTTCCCCAGCTTAATAATCGAACCAAGATGCAATTCTAGCGTACTGTATTTTAAATTCTTATAGAACACAGCCTTTTTAAATCTACGGAAAATTACTGGAAAATATCTCTATCGAACACAACATTTTTCGACAGCATGTCGTTGCATTTCAGCCTAAATTCATTTCACAGCAATGACGGCACATAGTTCATGCCAAAAAGAACGTCCCTATATACTTTTTCAGCAGCAAATACGAATCAAGTTGCCAACTGCAAAAAAACACTGTAAATAAAAAGACCAAAACAGATTGTTCGACGTTTCCTAAAAAACGAGCAATTGGAAATAAGACAACCGGGACAACGTGGCATTGTGTGCCCGTGAAAAAAATCACTGGATTTTGAAAATACAACATGGGACCCATTTCATTAAAAAAAGAAAGGTGTAGCTCAGTAGCGGAAGCCCACTTTTTGTTAATCATCTTTCAAGGCTTCTCTTTTGATTGACCATTCTTGGAAACATTCGTCGAAGAATTCCGCTAGCAAGTCATCTGCGTGGTCAAGGACTCCTGACAACTCGTGTGGCTGGTCTGGATATACCTGAAAAAAAAATTACATTTCTAGAATCCACCACGATGTTTTTTATTATTTTATTCTTCAGTTACAATCAATCTCTGATCTCCCATAAACTTAGAGCTGCAGTGTTCGTATGATTTTCATCATGCTCGAGAAAATGAAAGAACGAATGGCATCGTGAAACTTCAGGTATGCAGGATTTCGGTAATTTTCACGTGATGAACATGAAAATCCGTGCATGTTGAGTTAAAAATTTAAATACGAATGCTTCATTTTACAATTGCTAACAGGAAATTCTAATGGTCAACGGGTACGAATTTCTACACACTGTACAATAAGTTACGCAGATTCAAACTTCAAAGTCTCAGCTAATTTCGAATCATTGACAGCATGTTTCTCAGATGATATCTCTCCCAAGATTGTAGAGATTGCAGCTTTTAAGAATCATCTATCAGATGTACAACTAAATGGACAATTGCTTCATTTTTACCACTTGACGAAATGGGATCGCCTTGTCTGTCAAAGCAGCCGAAAGCAGCATGGAATGTCGAAGAGGAACGGTTTCATCGGCACTGCCGTGAATGAGCAAGAAGGGTTTCTCTCGCAAACCTTCCACTTGAAGCGACACGTCTGTTGCTAAATACCTACGCTGGTTCGCCTTACTCTCTAGCGGATAGCCCAGGTGTCGCTCTGAAAAAGCTGAATCTGGGATAACGGGAAACCAATAAGTTTTCAGACGAAGCCATGCAGTGGTACCTGGTTACGTACAGGTCGTACTTAAGATATCCAGATATGTTCAATGCAAGGAATAATAACACACAAACGCTTTTTCATTTAGAAGAAAGACTCAAGTTTTCCTCGTATTTTCGCCTTAAGGAAACCTGGTGATGTAAATTTCATTCATGAAATATCGTTGGGTCATACTCATTTGAAATATATGAGACTAGAGTAAAATATTGTATTTCATTGAAAACCATGAGGAATCAAACACACATTATAAATAGACCTAAAAAAGGTAAACAGTGAGGGCGATTAATTCCTGTCTCTATATTTCTTTCAACCCCCTTTCTTGAGTCCCTCATTTTTAAATTAGAAGCTATAGAATATCGATTTTTCAGTAAACTCTACGTAAAGCATTTCCTGAGAAGAGCTCCTAACTTCTTTCCATTGAAGTTGTGTCAGCCTCAGCCACATGACTTGAGGCGACTCCTCCAGAGACTCACTGTCACATTTGTTGCAGTGAGAAAACATATTTCGAAGACAGATGTCACTCACTGTAGAGAGAAAACGTCGTGATGGGAGCAACAGCCGCTCCGCAGGCAAACGGCGACGAGGCCCGAGCCAAAGCCATGGTTGCCACATAGCCACCATACCCAAGGCCCAAAATAACCATGTTGTCACCGTCTATGATGCTCACAGTTCGGCTCAAGTGACTGCAAAGGAAGTCACATTCATCACCAGGAAAATAAATCCTGCCCATTTTAACACTATACACAGAGAACAGGATTATGTGCGTTGTTCCTGTGTATTTATGTTGCTTACGTCGCGACATGAATGATGTCTTCAACGTCCGCATTCCCGATGTTTCCGAAAAAAGAATCCTGGAAATTTCTCCCGCGACCTTTTGTTCCTCTGGCGTCGATGGCGACTGTCAAAACGTCCCTCGTGGCCGAAAGAAACGTTGCCAGGTTCATGCGCATCGCAGTTGTCACACTCCTTTCCGTCGGATCGGATTTCCTGAACCAAAATAAATGCGTCACCAATGATGTCGAGCTACCGCACGAAGTGAAGTGTTGTATTTGAAAAAAAAATCAGTATCTAAGGCATTTCAAGTTCTTTTTCAGCAAGCAAATTCTGCGGAGTCATTCCGTAGAATTTTCCGAACTACATGAACATTTTTCTCAACTCTGCTTGCGTCATTGAAACCATAGTACAGTATATGAACGGAAGTCAACCAGACTTGCAACATTTTCTGGCTTCATCTGAATTGCTTCAGATTGATCTTTTTTTTATTCTGACCTCTGGATGCTATGAAAATCTTTGGAAAAACAGAACCACGTAAGCCTAAATTTGGTAAAATATTTCGAGAATGGTTCAAGATAATCAATATTTGGTTCAGATCATTCAATACATGGTTCAAATCATTCAAGAAATTGTTGAAATCGTTCAAGAAATGGTTCTAATCATTTGAGAAATGGTTCAAATCATTCAAGAAATGGTTCAAATCATTCAAGATATGGTTCTAATCACTCAAGAAATGGTTCAGATTATTAAAGAAATGATTCAAAGCATTCAAAAAATGGTTCAAATCATTCAAGAAATGGTTCAATAAGTAATTGAAAGTATAACTTGAATTAATCGGTGGAAATGTTTTTCCTGCTCAAAAGGAAGAGCATCTCCCATTTGTAAGTACTGTATTTGGAAGCGTTTAATCTAGCTCACAAAAAGAGAAGTTCTGCATGCTGTTGTATTTTTCACGAATCAAGTCCTTATTCTTCCGCATATTTAAAATTTTCGCAGAACAGGAACAAGTGTGTTACCATCACTTACCAGTGTACCTGTTGCATAATTCATCTTAAATTTTCTACTGGATGATGTTGCTCGAAGACAAATATATTTAAAATTTCCAATGACATATTTCTCCATTCCAATTAATTTACATTTAAAGTATATATACATTTACATTTACATTTACTCAGGAATATTAGGAAGCGAATTCTCTTCTGAAGTTACATAATTGGTCAAGGAAATTGACTTTCAAATCTTGCATGAAATAGGGTCTACGGCATTCCACAGTCCACACTAAATTTTTAAAGCCTTGCCTGATAATATTCACAAGCTATTAAATTTCTGAAAACTCACACGAAAATGAGTGTAGGGTATTTGACGTCGTCGTTTTCTTTATGAATGGGAGGATAAGAAAGCTCGACACTCGCTTCCCAGCCCGGTGTTGATTTCAATGGCACGCGAAGTTGTCGTTTCGTCGGCAAAGCCAGTTCTTCCATCAAACTTTCCAACGCATCGCCCGAATGAAGTTGCATGTGTGGGTTGTTTGCTCCGAGTTCCCCTGATCAATCAGAAAAGAAAAAAAAAACATGCGACGAAATTTCTGCATTGAAATATACTGCACAGCGTAAACACGGCAAATAAAAAAAAGGGCCTCAAACTTGCATGATGTGGAGTAAGGAGCTCTTGGACCAAGGCAGTGTTTGATGAAATATTTCCCCGTGGCTGTCAAGCTGGCAGACACGAAGGAACAGTTGGACACGTCAGGATGTTGACACGTCACGCATTCCACGAGGTCTTCAAAGAATTCCAAGTTTTGCACACGGAATAAATGCTGTGTCTCCGGGGCATCCCGAGTTGACGCCAGAAAATACCTTCAAAATGAACGCATTTGATTTTATTCCTTTCTACGCATGTCCCTTAAATTCATTGAAAATATCTAAAGTGCAACCCCTCACCAAAACATGTCCGTGGAATATTTTTCTCTATCTTTTTAGTAAATTAAATTTAATTTTTATCTTTCCGAGCAATATTCGTTGAAATCCGTTTTAGACGTTCAAAGGGTACCAGGGGATGAACAGAACTGAATTGAACGACTTTGATTCTAATAATGTAAGCACTGTGCTGTAAATTTGGGTTTTTGATTCGAATTCCACGTGCAAGTCAGAGATATATTTCTCGTTTTGTCTCAGAGGAAGATTAAAGCATTGATAAAAACCCCATCAGGGTGCTCCGAAAAGTGTCCCCGTTTCACGGTTCTTCGTTCAACTTCAAAAGAGTCTTCTAAAACATTTTCGCGGTATTTTCAGAAGAGTACAATTTAAAATAAAAGCTTAGTTCGGAAAAGGAAAGAGATTCAGGAAGCTAATTAAAGTCAGTTTGAGACACGCGCAGAACTATCGTATTTTTTTGCGAAACTGCAAATTGAGATCTAGGGAGTGTTACATTTGGAACATACAGTACTTTCGTCGTTTCT